AAGTGCTAGAGCCCACTGCAACTACATAGCCAAAAAGGCATTAAGAGTTGTTAACCTAATCCTACGTAGCTTTTTCTCTGGTAATATCACACTACTAACCAGAGCATACAAAACATTTGCTAGACCAATACTCGAATACAGTTCATCAGTCTGGAACCCACATTACGTATCTGATATTAGCACAATTGAGAAAGTCCAGAAATATTTCACAAGAAGAGTTCTCCACTCCTCTACTCGTTGTAGAATACCTTATGCCACCAGACTTGAAATTCTAGAACTAGAAAACCTCGAATTACGCCGTCTTCGGTCTGACTTAAGCATGGTATATAAAATCATACATTGCAATGTCCTACCTGTCAATGAATACTTCAGCTTCAGCCATAACAACACAAGAGCACACAATAGATACAAACTCAAAGTAAACCGCACCAAACTTGATTGCAGGAAATACGACTTCAGCAATAGAGTGGTCAATGTCTGGAATACTCTACCCGACTCTGTAGTTTCTTCCCCAAACCCCAAAAACTTTAACCTTAGACTGTCTACTATTGACCTCACCCCTTTCCTAAGAGGTCTGTAGGGGGCGTGCATAAGCGCACCAACGTGCCTTCCGTCCCTGTCCTATTGTTTCTCTTATTCTTTTATTTTTCTTATATGTACCCATTTCATGTATTCACAACTATGTATACACTTATACTTATTATCTTGTAAACAATTGGCAAATCAAAATAAATAAATAAAAAATAAAAAAGGATTGGGACTCTTTCCAAAACAGTATTGAGAGACAATATTAATATAAGGCTGAATCTAAGTTTAATTACTTTAGGGTTTTTTTTATTAACCCTGCTGTTCTGACCCAGTTCTCCAAACATGACAAACCCTCTGAAGTTAACTCAAAGATTCCTTTATTAGGAGTGCTAGCAGCCCCGGCAAAAAGTTTCTCTCTCAACGCAGGCTAACAAGTCTGTCTGGAAGATGAATAGTTGTCTGCCACACCTATTCATCTCCACCCCCTGCCTTTTATCCCCAGAGCTAGGGTGGGGCTTTGTTAGCAGCAGCAGTTCTTTCTTCCCAAGGATTGGCCCACGGATTTCCACTGCTCTCCTCTGCCTTCTGTGCATCTGCACGTCAGGCACTGGACCCAGTTGTTCCTCCTCCTTCCACATCAGTCACCTCCAGACCTGGGGGCTGTTGACTCTCCATCTGAGGGCTGACGAATGGCACAGGCTCCGTCTCTGTCTCTCTCTGCCAGCTCCATTCCCTCTTCCCCCTCTGAGCTCTCAGATTGCCTTGATGCTGACCCTGACTCCCACGTGGCCGCCTCCTCTGATTCGGCTGCTGGAGGGGTCGGTGGCCGATAGGCCACAACACCTGCTTTGACTTACTTCTCTAATTCTGTTGTGGTTAGCCGGCAGCAGGTGCAGATGGCTGAGGAGAGTGATGACTCTGATGAGGGGCCAGGACCATCAGGGAGTGGACTGCTACCTTCAGGGATTGTAAGGGCTGGCAGCAGTGACAAGGAGGTTCCCGAGGAGCCTGTGCCAAGTGCGAATGAGAGCAGGATGATTCGTAGAAGAGAGCAGCTGGAGCAGCACAGGCAACTCGGGAGTAAGGATGCAACATAATGGCCCCTCCCTCCAGGGAATATAAGCCTGGTTTCAAAAGGATTTTGCTTTTGCAGAAAGCAAAAACGTTCTAAGGAGTCAGCATTGTGTGTGGAGACTCCGGCTTATCTGAAGAATTCTGTCATGGTTTTTCTGGTTGGACTAATTGGCTGCAAGCCATCTTTTATCTACAAAGAAGTTATTTGTAGATTAAAGCTGAGAAGGTTTGAGTTGCTGCATTTGTTTGAGATTTTCTTGCTGGTAACAGGGTTGGGTCAGAAAAAATCCAGTTTTATTTTATTTTCAGCCTTGATCCACCATGTCTTTAGCAGATGAGCTTTTGGCTGACCTTGAAGAGGCAGCAGAGGAAGAAGATGGCAGTTTTGCAGATGAAGAGGATGAGTCTCCCATTGAAGATGTCCATGAAGAGATGCAACTGGATCTGGCAACTGATTCGGTCAAGAGCTGCCAAGCTGTGGGATAAAAAATGGTAAGAGGAATAGACATCTTTCACATAGGACTCATCCGTTTAATATCTTTGTGAAGTCATTTCTGTGGATCATGCCAATTTGATCAGATGAAGGGGCAGTCAGAAATAAAATATACCCTAGAAATTAGGAATATACTGTTGAATACAGTAATAAGGCTAAATTTCAAAACTGATTTTGGCCTGAACACCATATGTTGTGTAACCTGTGTCAGAATATTCATGAACTGGCAGAGACATAGTAAGAAGGTCAGCCAATGAGAGCTGAATTAGAAACTGAAACTAAGAGAGTCTGGGCGTGGCTTATCTCTGCTATCTGCTCTGAGCTCTGAAGCTGCTGCTTGTGTTTTGCTTGTAACTACTTACCACGTTGGAAGAATCTACTATTGGTATTGTACATTTTACTCATATGTTATGTATATAAAGAAGTTAATGAATCCTGCTGAATCAGTCACCTATGTGTGCTTTCTGGATTTGATTGCTGCAATAAACTCTAACAATCTGCCATTATTATTTTACACTCTCAAGTTCAAGATGGAAGGGAAGCATGACTTTAGATGTTTTTCTTTTGTGTAGTTTGCTGAAATTATGTTGAAGATTGAGGAGTACATCAGCAAGCAACCAAAAGCATCTGAAGGTACTGTTCAGATCAAATTTGTCTATGAAGCCATACTGATAACATTTCCCTTAATTTTTTTGAGCCTACTGAGGTCACATCCTGTTCCTGCATTAAAACAGCTTATTTCCCTTCAGTCAAAATCTTGGACATGTCTATGAACCCATCTCACAGTCAGCTGCATAGCATAGATTTTGACCATCCTCTTTTTCTCTCTCCAGTTCTAGGTCCAGTAGAGGCTGCTCCTGAATACAGAGTCATTGTGGATGCCAACAACCTCACTGTAAGAGATTGAGAATGAACTGAGTGAGTGAAAAACCTTGGCAGCTGGTTTGGGACAGGGCTAGTAACGCGCTGGAAATACTATATTAGGTGTTACATAGTGATTCATCTGTACTGGTATCAATACAATGGAATGTGAATTACCAGTGTAGAAGTGTTGGAAGTTATGATTCACTCCTCTCCTAGGAAAAGAAAAGAAATTTTAAAACATTAAAGGGGAAGGAAAATTCCCCTAAAAGAAAGGAGAAGTGTAAACTCAAGCAGGGATTCAGCCCCCACCCTTGTCAATAGGGCCATTAAAATAGCTGAAGCTAGCCTATTCTCCACAACAAAAGGAAGGATAAAATTACATGCATGGGATACAGAGAAAAAGCCTACAAATTAGCTAAGATCCTTTCCTATAGAAATCAAATAGATGGCAAACTATAAAACTTGTGAAAAACAGCAAAAGCAAACTCCCAAAGGAAAAGAAATCAAGAACCTTAGACATGTGAGAAAAGGAGATACTCACCAAAACACAGTAATAAAAAAGCATGGCAGGAAGAAAAAGATAGCAAACCAAAAGCATAACAGAAAGCTCAGGATATTGCAACAAAATGCAAACTGATTAATTATAGGGAACAAGCAGCTACAAAGGGCCAGGGAAAAACAGAGATTGGACTATAAAACAATTACTTCTACCCAGATCCCAGGAAGATCCCAACCTCAAGTGACAGGATTTAAACACCATAAAAAACCCATCACACACATACAAATGTCTTAGCCCAACCTACCTCACAGGGTTGTTATGGGAGAAATAGGAGGAGGAAGTATTATGTATGGTTCCCATCTTAACTTATTTATAAAAAAATAAAAGGATAAACAATCAAATAAAATAATGTGCAGGAAATGTTGGTACTGATCCTTACTGTGTCACAGATGTTCTTCCATGTATCTAGGAACAAAGAGAACACTAACATTGGTTTCTCTGAAATATTTTTTAGACTTTGTTCTCAGCCAGATGTGCATACTAATTTAAAAAGATGACTAAGGTTGTCCCTCAGGCGTGCTGTGCCCAATACATGACAGAAGGAATGGGAAAAAGATGAGGAAAAAGTCATTTTAGTTACAAAAGCTGAAGGAAGCACCTTGCAGTGCTCCATCTTTGGCAAGGATGAGACTGGGGGGTTTAGATAATCTAAAGGGAATACAATAAAACTAGAATATGGAGAATAGAATATTTGGCCTCTTGGTTGTCCATGTGTCAGATCCATGTATCTGCCATTCTTCAATGGAAGAAGGAGGGGTTTGGTACAAGTGATCCTTTTTGATGTAATCTGAATATCTTAATTCTTGTACTGAATCTGTATAACTTGCACAGAATATACAACTGGGGACTGGAGCCCAGATGCCTGGAAAGTTGTCACCTCTTGGAGAGATAGCAAGAGGAGAAGGAGCCCTAAAAATTCCAGCTCCGAAAGAAACTTTCTGGGAAACTCTTCTCAACTACGTTCCCAGAAAAGAGGGGTGGGTGGGTGTTAACATGTTGCTTCTTTGTATTGAAAAAATCCACGGCAGACTAAGAGGAGGGGTTCTAACTCCCTTTATCTAAAGCTACATGCCTGGAGGCATATTAGACCCTGCTTTGAATGGCACCTGGATATCTTCCTTTTCAATAAAGAGTTCCTTTTGAAATACCCAACTTTCAAAAGTTCATTCTTATCATCTGAAGGGGAGAGAGTCTGGGCCTTACACCATGGTTCATCTATTAACAATTCCAGTACAGGTATATCCTTCAACTCCTTTGTTCTTGCCCTGAAATCAGATGAAGTATCTGGTATTTCTCACAGTGCTTGTCAGCCCAACATGTATTTGTACAAAAATTCCTGGTCATTGTCAAAAACTAACCTCTCCTTCAAATGCTGGACCTTTGCAGGAACTGGGTGTTAGGGATATACACCCTAGCAGAACCTGCACGGCAGTCAGGCAG